GTCTATATAATTTTATTAATTTATTTCAGTTTATTTTAGTATATCAAATTAAACTAAATTAAAATGTGGCAACCAGCTGAAAAAAATTTGTTATATTTTATTTCAGTTATTTATTTTATTTCAAGTAATGACAACATTTAAAGCCTTTAGTATAATGCATTATAAAAGTATTCATGCATTGTAATGCATTATATATATATATATATAGACACACACACACACACACACTCACTCTCTCACACACACTCAGAGCTGATCGTGTCTCACCTTCTCGTTTGAGAGGCATGTTGCCCGTGGTTCTCTCTGATGTGTGTCTGTCTCCAGCTGTCGTTTGATCCTCTAAACTTAAACCTCTTTAGGGCTTTGAGCTTCTGCCCCGCGGCCTGCTGGGAAATGTAGGCTGTCTGTCAATCAAGCACAGCATTCATCAGGACAGTGCGAGTGTGTGAACGAGCCAAACTCACCGGTATGATGTTTGCGTCTCAGTGATCTGGCTCAGAGTTTTCAGCTGTGTTCTGGTTCAGCAGGTGAAAACACTGCATCTGATCACTCAGTAAAGCAGCAGCACACATGATCTGAGGAATCATTCATGACTACAGTACAAACACACACTCAGAGACACACACACATCACTACCAGCACTAGGACTAGTGAAGGCTGACTTAGTAAACAGCATACTCATCAGTGCCAACATCTACTTCTATAAATCACATCTGCACGAGTGTGTGTGAATGTCATGATGCTAGAGTGTTCTCTCCTGGTGACACACACACACACACACTCTCTCTCTCTCTCTCTCTCTCTCTCACACACACACACACACACACACTCTCTCTCTCACTCTCACACACACACACTCTCACACACGCACACACTCTCTCTCTCTCTCTCACACACACACACTCTCTCTCTCTCTCTCTCTCTCTCTCACACACACACACACACACACACTCTCTCTCTCACTCTCACACACACACACTCTCACACACGCACACACTCTCTCTCTCTCTCTCACACACACACACTCTCTCTCTCTCTCTCTCTCTCTCTCACACACACACACACACACACACTCTCTCTCTCACTCTCACACACACACACTCTCACACACGCACACACTCTCTCTCTCTCTCTCACACACACACACTCTCTCTCTCTCTCTCTCTCTCTCTCACACACACACACACACACACACTCTCTCTCTCACTCTCACACACACACACTCTCACACACGCACACACTCTCTCTCTCTCTCTCACACACACACACTCTCTCTCTCTCTCTCTCTCTCTCTCACACACACACACACACACACACTCTCTCTCTCACTCTCACACACACACACTCTCACACACGCACACACTCTCTCTCTCTCTCTCACACACACACACTCTCTCTCTCTCTCTCTCTCTCTCTCACACACACACACACACACACACTCTCTCTCTCACTCTCACACACACACACTCTCACACACGCACACACTCTCTCTCTCTCTCTCACACACACACACTCTCTCTCTCTCTCTCTCTCTCTCTCACACACACACACACACACACACTCTCTCTCTCACTCTCACACACACACACTCTCACACACGCACACACTCTCTCTCTCTCTCTCACACACACACACTCTCTCTCTCTCTCTCTCTCTCTCTCACACACACACACACACACACACTCTCTCTCTCACTCTCACACACACACACTCTCACACACGCACACACTCTCTCTCTCTCTCTCACACACACACACTCTCTCTCTCTCTCTCTCTCTCTCTCACACACACACACACACACACACTCTCTTTCTCTCTCTCACACACACACACACACACACTGTAGAAATTAATGTGAGCTTTCAGACTCTAGTTTAGGGTTGTTTCATTAATAGGATCGTTCTGTCATCATTTTCTCCAAAATATATTTTGTGTTCCAGAAGAAACTCATTCAGGTTTGAAGAATATTGGGTACCAATCAACACTGGACCCCACTGACTTTCATTAAATGAACAAAAAACAGTGATACGTTTAACAAAACATCTGAAAGTCATTCAGGTTTGGAGTAAACGATGACAGGATTATCACTTTTGACGGAACGATCCTGTAAAGATTCAAGAGTTTCTGAGACACGTTCAGTGCTGGGGAAAGTTACTTTTAAAAGTAATGCATTACTAGTTACTTGAAAAAAGTAATCTGTTTACGTAACTTGTGTCACTTGTAATGCATTACCCACAACACTGATAATTATCATAACAAACTTTAGGGAACAAAAACACAAACATATTCTTCAGATGCAGGAAATCAGACTGAACAGACAAGAGAGATCAGAAACACATCCGATTTATTCACACGTGATCAAAAACATCAGATATGAACCTCAGTCAGCTGCTGAATGAAGCCATGAAGAGCGTCACAAACACACGCGTGTGTTTGTGAGAGAGTGTGTGTGTAAGTGTGTGTGTGTGAGATGTATGTGTGCGTGCGTCTCTGTGTGTGT